CCCCCCCCCCCCCCCCCCCCCGTCCCATAGTCTTTACAGGATAAAGTAGTAAATATTGCTGCTGGACTCAGGCATGCAGTTGCTGTGGTTGGTGAGTTACACCTTTATAGTGAAATTAACAATAATACATAAATAATATTGTGCCAGACCAGATGAGTTTAATATTGTAGCTGAAATTGGTGTGTGGTCTAGAGAAAGCATGAAGTATTTAAGAAGTAATTCACTGATTCAGTATTCAATGACAGACTAATATAAATCAGGTACTTTATGGAATGTATTGTTTGATGATCATTTACCTTTCATGTATCTCTTAATAAAAAGTGGTTTGGAAGACTTTTAAAAGGAATTTATAATTAAGCTAATTTTGGTCCTTTACCTTCAGACGTTTAAACCATATAAATTGCTTAATAACTTTCATTAAATAAAGCCCTGGAAATTGATATTAAATTGTCTCTTCTGGCATTAACTCGGATGGTATGGAACTCATTCTAAAAATGGGGTGCATGAAGTGGCCCTCACTAGTTGAAGATGTAATGTATTAGGGGTCTTTAAAAGGTTACAGGTAGTCCTTGGGTTATGACCCTAATTGGGACTGGAATTTCTGTCGCTAAGCAAAGCGGTTGTTAAGTGAAACATCGCATGAACAACAGCAATTCCGGCAGCCCTGGTTGCAGTAGTTAGGCAAGGACCATGCAATCATTAGGCGAAGACCTCATGTGACCGCAACTTGTGACCTCCTGCTGGCTTCCCCAGTGGTTTTGCTTGTCAGAAGCCAGCTGGGGAACTGTTACATTTTATGTGCTAAACATTAACTGTTAAGCTGATATCAATAAGACACATTAATGTATTTCTTCAGTTTCTTGTCAGGGGAATAGTTTTTAATCTTGACAATTTATTTTCCTTCTGTGTGAGCAGAAAATGGTTCAGTGTTTCAGTGGGGAATTGGTATGGAGTCTCAAGCAAAGCGAATGTGCCAAGGAAAAAGTATTCCTTCTTTCCTGAGGGCAAATGAACCTTGCAAAGTACCAGGTTTGTTTTTTAAAAGATATACATGATATTTCTGCAAGTTTTGGGCTGTTGTGCATATATTGGACACAAAAACTCTGAAGGGAAGGAACTATGTCTTGTTCACAGGCAGATGTCTACCACACTTGGCATGCAGCTATTTGTGTGGTGAACTAACAATGCTACTGACCTCTCTACCACTCAGCCTTTTGCTGTTGGGCTGTATCTTACTTTAAGAAGGTGTTTTCTCACTCAATTAAGCCATCTGACCCTTAACAAAGGGACATCTCAGTACCCCATTTTTTGCAAAAGTCATCACTGTCATCCTCCATTCTTAACAGTCGAGAGACAGAGATGGTAAGGAAGGTGTGGAACAGCATGTCCCTTGCCATACTATGTCTGCTTCTACATCTCTTGGCTCCTAAATAGCCATTAGTCAGATAGGATATCAGAAAACTACCTCATCTCAATGTAATGTTTGGGTCAAACACAAAGTCCTGTTTCCACCTTTAGAGGGGAGGCAAGTGATTAGTACCTTCCTTGTTGCATTACTGTAGTTATATCCTTTCCCCTGTTCTCTCCTAGTTAATTTGCTGAGGACTGCATAGCATAATGGATGGAATTAGAGCAGTGTTTCTCAACCTTATCAAGTTTAAGATGTGTGGACTTCAACTTCCAGAATTCCCTAGCGAGCAGGAGTTGAAGTCCACACATCTTAAAGTTGATAAGGTTGAGAAACACTGGATTAGAATTAAAAACTGGGCACACCATCCATTCACTTTCTTTCTGTTGCTGACACCTATTTTCCCCTTGATCGCTCTCTCCCCCAAGCAGCAGGTTGACATTGAAGGTAGATTTTACCTGACCTCTAATGCAGAAATGCAAAAATATGGCATGGAAGCTGCATCTAGCCTGCCAGATTCCCCTTTCTGCCTGCCAGAGCCCTTTTTGCAGAATTTGGGGTAGAACTATAGGGCATAATAGGTGCATTAAGCCTTACAAATGCTTATAGCATCCATTTCACCATTTGGAACTCTTGGATCCCCCTTCTGACACCTGCTTCCTGGGCCTGGTTTTGAACTGCAGCTCTTGACTGACTGGGTATGGCTTTCAAGCTATATTCTTGGGGGTGGGGGGCATTGTGAAATTATTCCAGAGACTGCATCTGGCCCTGGGGTTACAGATTGCCCATCCTTCCTTTAGATGGAGCCTACTTCCAAACTTAAATCTTCAGAAGAGCTTTTGGTTACTAATCTTGTTCTTTTTAAGTTGAAATACTGCTTTAATTTATGGGTAAACACACATAAATTAGATTGATTCCAAAGCTCCTTCAGAGTGACATGTTCAGGTTCTTGCATCTCAAGCATCCTCAAAACTTAATGCTGATCACATGGAACATTTCAAAATCTGTCTAATCCTAAACATGTATTGCAGTTTTTGCCAATCTGATACCCTCCAGAAATATTGGATTTAAACTCCCATGCTTCCAGCCATTGTGGCTTTGACATATGGAGGGCACTTTGGCTTGAGTGGAATCATAGTATCATAGAGTTGGAGGTCATCTAGTCTAACCCTCTGCCCAGTGCAGAATCCACTACAGCATCTCTGACAGAAGACCATCCAGCTTGATTTTGAAGACTCTAGCACTAATTGGCAGTTCATATAGTCAGGAAGTTTTTCCTGATATCTAGGCTGAACCTGTTTTCTTGTAGTTCTATACCGTTGGTTCTAGTCTTCCCTTCTGAAACAAATAGAGAATAAGTCTACTCCCTGTTTGACAGCCCTTCAGATATTTGAAGATTGCTATGAAATCTTCCCTCAGTTGTCTTTTCTGTAGCTAAACATACCCAGATTTTTAAACCTTCTCATAGGATGTGATTTCCAGGCCCCTCACTATCTTAGTAGCCCTCTGAACTTGCTTCAGTTTGTTACTGCTCTTTTTGAATTGTGGTACACCCCCGCCACCCCGAGTGGGATCTGACCAGGACACAATAGAGATCAACAAGTACTTCCAATGGTCCGGATTCTGTGATCCTATTAATATATCCCAAGATAGCATTTGTCTTTTTAACAGCTGCATCATGATACTGGCTCACATTTAACTTATAGTTGACAAGGATATTTAGGGTTCAATTTTCCCTATTAAAGAGGGGAGCAACATTTGTTGATCCTTTATACTAGATTTGCTCTTTCTCCTCAATTTTCTGCTGTTATGGAGAACTCCAGTGAAGAGATCTTTGTTCTGGGCAGGAGGATATTTTCCCCTGTACGTCTGTATGTAGCTCAGATCACTAGGTTGAAGCATCATCAGTCTGATCCTGTGCAGTATGCTGTGTGAATAAAGTCTTTTGAGTGCCTTACAGAATGGAAACTCTAGAGCTAGTATATTTGAGCTGCAGAAGATCCGGATGACCACTGGATGACAGCAAGGAGAGTCTAGGAGAGTCCAGATGTGTTGGGGGTGCAGTTTGCTGCCAGCCTGGCCAAAACACTTGAACACCTAATCCTGGGGAAGCTGCAGTACTCTATAGCTTGATTCTGATGCTTCACAGGGATTGGTTAATGGAATGAAGAGCCATTTAACTAGTGTCAGAAGGCATTTGTGATAATTGTATATCAACCCAAGTTTATGAAGGCAATTATTGCTGGCCATTGGGAAATTCAAATATCAGGCCTACCCTTCTGAATTTCAGGGATATAAATTAAAGTTAAAAAAATAGCCTGGAGGAAACCACTTCTGTATTGCTAACAAGAAAACTACACCAGGAGTAAAGTCCCAGTTGAAGAAAGCTTTATCTTTAAAGGTGGTGTCCAGACAGTTTTTCATTTTGCAACTCATTTTTTCAGTTTTTTCCCTGGCTTTCCTTTCCCACTCTAGCCCTCAGTTAATTTGCAAGACTGCTATAATGCTTATGCTGTTACATAAGATTCCATTTCTTCATATGGGAAAAATAACGGGCTTCAAATGCATACATTGGATAGGTAATTTGTTAAGGCTATCAATAGGAGAGAGAAATAATATTTTAAAATAGGGGTTAGAAAGATCATGAGCTCCTGACTTTGCTGCTTTTATTTGCGATTGCTGTTACCTAATAATATTTACATAATCCCTGGATTTGTGTGAAGGAATGATCACATCCTGCCCCCATCCTATTAAAAAAAGAACCAGGAAGTACTGCACTTTCACTTTCAACAGATAGTAGGGTTGTCAGTCTTTATTCATTGAGTGAAAACACTGAAAAGCAGAAAAAACGTTTCTAAAAACCCCTTTAGAAACTCATATTTTGTCTCATATTGTGTTCCACATAATCTACAGCTTTTTTTCCTCCAGGAAGCCTGGGAATCCAGGCATTATAGTTCAAGGGAGGACATCCTCAAACCTCACTATTGCTATTCATTTTATTTTCAGTGGTTTTCATAGTAGCAACATTTCTTTAGTTCAGGCCCCTGTTTCAGGTCTTTCCATGTAGCAATGACTAACTTCGGTTGCCTAAGCCAAGTCATGGTTCTTGAAAATTAATTCCATTTGTAAATGTATATGCTTGTATTTTTTAAAATCACTTGGCCATATCAAAGTGACCTTTGATCTATTAAAATTTGCTTGTGGTATAGTAACCCAACATGACCTATACAGCAATCTTTTCTACATATTTTACATTTTTTAGCTCTCTTCATTTACAGTTGTGTTTATGACATTATGTAACACAGAAAACCTCTGTGAAAGGAATTCTCTCTCTTCAGTTTATGACATAAATGGATTACTGTCCTAGGTTTTGAAAATATCAAAGTGAGGAGTGTGGCTTCAGGCTCACATCATGTCATGTCATTCACAGGTATGTTTCCTTGTCTGTAGCTACTCCTATGGCTTGGCTGAACCATACAAAACATTCTGTTTCTGATATTAGCTCACGTTTCCTTGGAAGTGTCTGTGTCTGTGTGTATGCATTAGGTGTTTCGGTCTCCAAACAGAATTCCAACACCTATTACCTTCTCCCATTTTAACAAATCTGTAACCCTTCCGAAAGACAGCAGAATATTATATAAACTATATTAAATATGGAGGTTGGCTTATTATTACTTTGAAGTCCTAACTCAAATCTTATTTATATGCTTTATGTGACTTTGACTTGTGTTTTTTTGGTCTGTATTTTTCTTAGCTGTTTTCAGGCTTTATCCTCATAAGCAGAGCTGAACCACTTAGATAAGCTTGCAAGAAAATCCAAGAACTGAGAATAAATGAAATGTATTGAAAAAAAGTCAGGAAACTAAAGCCAAAAGAATTTTGGCAACTGCTAGCCATATTGAGGAGAGCCAGTTTGGTGTAGTGGTTAAAAGCACCAGGCTAGAAACTGGGAGACCCTGAGTTTCTAGTCCTGTTTAGGCACAAAGCCAGCTGGGTGACTTTGGTCCAGTCACTTTCTCACAGCCTTGGAAAAAAGGCAATGGCAAACCATTTCTGAAAAAATCTTGCCAAGAAAACTGCAGGGACTTATCCAGGCTGTCTCTGGGAGTCAAGACTGACTTGAAGGCGCGCGCGCACACACACACACACAACACACAAGCTCTGTCACTAAAGACAAAATGCAAACCTTGTGTTTAGTTTTTCCTCTCACTGTACCTAAATAGACTCCTTGGCTCCCTCTTTTGAGTACCCTAGGTTATTTCCATCTGTCCTTTGTCAAGATTTGTTTTTATTATTCTTAGTGACAGTATGAGAACTTTTGTCAGTATGGTTTTTTATTAGGAGGAGTTGTCAAGGGAACATTTATTATGCTTGCTTTGTGTGTATGTATTGTATCTTGATGAAGTCAAGGCTGTGCGTTTGTATGTTCTTGATGCATTTGTTTGCATGGGGCTGTTTTGGTTAATATACTACAAGTTTGGTTTTTTGTGGAAACTTAATGTGCAATTATGGCTAATTGCATACATTGTGACTTATGCTTCATTTGTGCTTTAACATTTCTGAATTGTAGTTTCTTTTTAAAATTTAAGATCTTTACTGTCTGTGCATAGAACAATGACATTTAATCCCAATATCTGTGACCTTAAGAAAAAATATAGAAAATGTCTTAATTGCTGTTCTATTCTTCCTCTCTTTTTAAGATGAAGGAGATTTATATGTTTGGGGAAACAATAAACACAAGCAACTACTAAGCAAAGATGTTGTTGTTCTGGAACCTCAGAAGATTGAAGCTCACTATTTTGAGGGTGAAAAAATCAGAAGAATCTGGAGTGGATGGACACACATGGTGGTGCAATCAGGTATAACCTAAAAAGTTGTATCTAAAATACAACAATATCCATTTGACTGAAAATAATATTTGGATGGCTCCTAAAAGGGCTTGTAATGTGTGGAAGGCATGGCAAAATCCTGTGTCAAGAAAATGTAGAGTTTGATTTTTAACATAATATGCTGATTGGTCCTCATGCTAAGCTGTAATTTAGTGTTTTTCATTCCCTTTCTCCCCCTTTCTACTCTGAAGCAGTGTTGAGGAAGCAATCAGCAACTTTGCCTTGCTATGCAATAATCAAATACACTGTATGTCAAATATGAACACTCCCTGAAATATATTCCCAGTCCTACTGTTAGAAGTTCTTAACTCAGAATGCAACAGATGCCAAGATGTGTTATAGAAGGCTTTTTTTCAGTATCATACTATCTTGGACTGTGGTCATCAGGCAGTGGTTTGATAGGGGAATAGCCATAATGTCTGTTTTTATTGTCCTGTTTTTCTGATATTTGATCTAGGTTTGGGGGGAAACTAATTGGAGTGATACACAAAATATTAATTTTTTTATTACTTTCCTTCATAGCATACTCTAATAGCTCTATTAGCTTCTAAAGCCCAAGCTAATTTTTTTATCTCCCCAGCAGGTTAACAAACCAGGACTTCTTAAGAATACTTTCACATAATAATTTTGTCTCTTTTATAACCTACTGCAACCCTTCTTTTTCACTTTCTGTAGTAATCTTTGATTGATAGAAAGAAACAAATAATTAACTGACATTTCCATTTTCAAATAGCTCCAGTTCATCATTATTTCTACGCAATAACCTGTATTAGCCTTAACTATGGTTTATTGAAATAAATCAACTTCATAATTTTTGCTTTGGCTTCTCTTGTATAAAACTCAAAGAAAATGAACATTGCATATCTATGCTGGAATCAGATAAAAGTTTTTTTTTCCCCAGAGGGTTGAAGAAGGAGGTATCTTGTTTTCTGCCTAAGTTCCATGTATTTAAAATGAATGAAGGGATTGGTTAATCTTCCAAGTATCACAATGCTCCACGAGAGCCCTCCCTGAAAAAAAGCATGTCCTGCCCACTGTATTTGAATATGTAATTTCTCTAAGCAATATTGGGTACTTTCTCCTCAGGATTCTGCACTACTCTGATAGTAGGTCTAGGATTCAGTTTCCAATATGCCATCAATATTGGACAGAAATACTGTCCCCTGTAGCTGTGGCTGGCTGGAGAGTTCTAGGAGTTGAAGTCTACCCATCTTAAAGTTGATGAGGTTGAGGAACCCTGATCTAGCCCATAAGCAGGGTGTTATGGGTCCCTTTTTTTCCCCTTGCTTGCTTGCTTGCTTGCCCTTTTGCTTCTGAGTATTTGGGAATGAAAACAGTAGTAGTGTGTAAAGCTTATCCTTGCAGCATGCTTCATTAAAACAAATTGCAGAATGTAAAGCCGCAACTGAAAGTCACTCTCTATAATTGATATTTTTGTGAGAATGGGACTAAAAGTCCCATAATATTGCAGATGTAAATTAGATTATGTAAGGATCTCATTTAAATGGTTTGACCGAAGGGAGTTCTAAATATAGCAGAAGGGTGTTGAAGAGAAAGGAGAGAACAAAGTCTTAAGCCTTATAAAAGGTGACTCATCCTTAGTTCAGAATAACTGCCTTCCTCCTTATATTGCTAGGGCCAATAAAAAAGACTGCCTTAATTAAGGAAGTTTATTTATCTGTGTGTTCTTCTGAATAAATACACAGATCTGTTTGTTATGCATCATAAAAATGGATAAATAATTCTCAGTACATTAAAGGTTACACATTCTTTCTTGTGAAAATGGATTGAAAAAATGGAAAAAAATGTTTATGTCCAAATGCAGCTATACCAAAGACCCAAAGAAGGAATACACCATAAAATTATAGGCTGAGTTGGGTAGCTTCTTCTAGATAAATTCTGTGGTGGAAAGGAAAAATGTTGTCCCACCCAGTAGGCTCCTGTTGTGGATTGGGGCCCTGTACTAAAAGCTTCTGGAAAACAGTTCTGTTATAAAGGCATGTAGTGATGTTCTAGAGAAGTACTAAATAGGATTTATTTTGCTTCATGAATATATTCTACAAGACCTTTGTTGGTCTTCTTGAGCAGTTTAATTCTGTTTGAACTCCTAGGTAAAATATGAAGAATTAGTGACCCAAGGTCTTCTGAAAGAAATGATAGATAAATTAGTGCTGTCAAAATAACATGTGAACTCTTGGGAGGCTTCATCATTTGTTTTATGTCTTCCCTCCCATAACTGGCAATAGAATGCCAGAAAATACCAGGAAGATGGTTAATGAGCACAATTTTGTGCTATTTGTTTTTTCTGTTGAAAAACCTTGAAAATTAGTGTTGTCTTGTGGTTAATGTTTCAAACTAGGAAGACTCGGAGCCAAATTCTTAATCTATCTAATCTAAGATTTTTATAAGGCCTAAAATATAGGTGAACTCTGATGAGATAAAAAAGTAATAAGCATTTTCAAGTATTTTTAAATAACTAGTCCTTCTATGAAGTTGAAAATGATACACATATTTACAAACAAGGTAAACAGTTTAGTGAAAATTAGGGACTTATAAGCATCAGGAAGCCACAGGATGGAGAGAACATGATGAAACAGAGTGGCTCCAGGTTGGCAAAGGGGTATGTCAAGGCTGTATACTCTCCCCTTATTTATTCAACCTGTATGATGAATATATTGTATATTAAGGGAAGCTGGATTGGAAGAAGATGAATGTGGTTTTAAAATTGGAGGAAGAAACATCAGTAACCTGTGCTATGCTGATGACACTACCCTGATAGCCAAAAATGCAAAGGATCTGCAAGCCTTAGTAATAAAAGTCAAGTAGCACAGTGAAAAAATGGGACTGAAATTAAATATAAAGAAGAAACTAATAACAACAGGTAGAACAACCAGCCTTAGAATTGGTAATGAAGCCATTGAAGTGGTGAGAATAGCTTCTGCCTTCTAGGGTCAACCATCAACAGTAAAGGAACAAGCAGTTAAGAAATATGTCACAGACTAGTATTGGTAGGGCAGTAGGGCAACCATTAGGCCTTGGAAAAGATAGTCAAATGCTGTGATATGTCTATACCTACAAGGATCAGAATTGTGCAAGCCATGGTATTCCATGTGACACTCTATGGAAGCAGAGGTTTGACTGAAGAAACAAGATAACAAGAGTATGGATGCTTTTGAATTTGGTGTTGGAGAAGACTCATGAGAATGCCATGGACAGCCAAGAAAACCAATGGATCATTGAACAAATCAACCCAGAGTTCTCACTCAAGGCACAAATGACCAGACTCAAATTATTCTACTTTAGACAAACTGTGTGAAGACCTGGCTCTCTGGAGAAAGCTCTAATGCTGGGAAAGGTAGAAAGAAAAGAAGAGGTTGAAAGAAAGAGAAGAAGAAGATGAAGAGGCAGAAGGTGGATAGACTCATATGCCTTTATCAAAACATGCTCTACAGACATATTCTGTTGAGGCAATGTATTTGGGTATATTTTATGTATAGCACCTTCTGAGATTGGGTCAGGATTTGATTCTTCCATTCCTGGAACCTTGGTGCCCAGACAACTTACTGGGACCCAATGCATCTTACTTACTTACTTACTTACTTACTTACTTACTTACTTACTTACTTACTTATTTATTTACTCACTCACTCACTCACTCACTCACTCACTCACTCACTCACTCATAGGACTT